GTTCATGCATGGCGATTTAATTGTAGCCTCTGTATGCATCCAGAAAGCTGAGTCGGTTGTGCCCCGCCGTTAAGTCTACCAGTTGATCTATCCGCGGTAGAGGAAAGCTGTCTTTTGGACATGCCTTGTTGACTGTTTTATAGTCGACGCAGACACGCCACTTGCCATTCTTCTTTGGCACTACAACTGTGTTGGAGATCCATCTTGGGTAGTGCACTTCTCTAATTGCTCCTGCCTTCAGCATGGTGGAGTGCTGATCTGCGTGTGCGTTGGATGACTAGTCTAGCGGATGGGTGGACATTGAGTTGATGACAGATGAAGTTTGGATCAATGCCTGGCATGTCGTAGGGCGTCCAGGCGAACACTTCGATGTTAGAGGTTAAGAATTCGAAGACCTCTAATCTCTCAGTGCTGAACAATGACGAACCGAGCAAAAAGAATTTATCCGGGTTCTTTTCATCTATTCTTACCTCTACCAAGTCCTCCACTACTTTCTGATCAGCCGCTTTGCCGACATCTGCGAATAGCTCATTGCTCTCAGGTTCTTCCACTGAATGAACGTATCATTTGGCAGCGCGGCTGCCATTCACCGTGACGAAGCATTGCTTCGACATGATCTGATCTCCATAGACTTCTTCAATTATCCCGGTATCGTTGGGGAACCTCATTACTTGGTGGTAGGATGATGCCACCGATCGCATGGCATGCAGCCATGTTCTACCCAAGATGATGTTGTAAGTGGATGGGACCTTCAATACCCAGAACTCCACTTATTTCGTCACGCTTCCTGCTCTGACTGGAAGAATTATTTTGCCGACGGGCCATTCTGGCATGGAGTTGAATCCAATTAGGGGAGATACGGCTGGCGCCAAGTCTTTGTCTTGTGGCTTCAATTGTTTAAATGTTTCGTAGTACATAATTTCACATGAACTACCCTGGTCAATCAGAATTCGCTTGACGTCAAAATCCTTGACTCGGAGAGTGACGACCAGGACATCATTGTGAGGGCAATATATCCGTTCCAAGTCTTTATCCGAAAAAGACATGACGTTTGTGGCCTCTGTCTTCCCCTTCTTGATGGTAGGTTGGGCACTTAGCACCTCTCTTAAGTGTTCAGCCTTTTTGATTGATCCCCTGAGCTCGCATACACGCTCAGGTTCAAAGACTCCATGTATCACATTGATAGCGCCTTGAGGTGGGGCGTCGACTGGCATCCCGTTGGGGTTATTATGGTCCTGGGGGGCTGGTTGCGTCCCTCCTTCAATGTATTTATCCAGGTGACCTGCTGCCACCAACTCCTCCAGGTGCTGTCTCAATGGCATGCAATTTTCAGTGCGGTGCCCCTTTTCTTTGTGGAAGGTGCACCGTGATCTTTCGTCATAGTCCTTCTGAGCTTCCCTAGTTTGGCTGGCCATCTGACGAAAGGCTCTTCTCTTATTTCACTTAGAATTCGGTAGATTGGTTTCTTAAATACCGTGGTTATGGCCGTGTGGACCCTCAACCATCTTTTATCCTGGTCCTCTCTGTTGTCTCGTCTGCCACGTCTATTTCTGTTCGGACGATCTACCATGTTAACCTTCCTGTTCGGACGATCTACCGCGTTGACCTTTGCTGAGGCCTTCTTTTTTGGTACTATGGTCGTGCCAGATTTTGTTTTGGCACATGCGTCATCCTCTTCTACCCTGATGTGCTGATGCACTTTTTCCATCAAGGCTTCCATGGTGAGGGGTGGCGTCATGGTGATCGAGTCCCTTAGTCTATTCCCGACTAGAAGGCCTCTTTTGTACTGTGCAATGGCGAGATTGGTGGGGCAGTCGCCAATTTGGTTGAATTTCTCCCAGTAGCGGCTATTGTAGGATCTTAGTGTCTCTTTTTCTCCCATGTCGATGGAGAGTAACTGGTCAATCTCCACCGGGGTTTTTGTGTTTGTTCTGAATCTTGTGACAAACGCCTCTGCCAATTGCGCCCAGGAGGCTATGCTGCCTTCTGGAAGTTTTTCAAACCAAGTCAAGCCTAGATCGCCAAGGCTTGACGGGAAGAGGATGCACATTAGAGCCTCGTTTCGCCGATATACCGCCATAACCTGGCGGAAGTGGCTTAGGTGAATATAGGGGTCCGTTTTCCCCTCGTACGTAGTGAATTTGGGCTGAAGGAAGCCTGTAGGTAGGGGCGCATTTTCAATTGCCGGAATGAACGGTGAGGTCTGCAGCCTCGCTAATGCTTTGTCCGTCGGTTCGTAGGAAGGGCGTGGTAATGGCATTCCAACCTCGACGTTTCCATGCGATCGTGGAGCCAATCGTTGAAGGGCAGAAACTCTGCGAGGGTCGCACGCCCTGGTGTCCTCCTTCCATCGTGCCTTTTCTTCCAGCATGATCCGCAAATCGGATGATCTGGGCAACTCCGTCTGTTTGGATGATGTTTGGTGCGAGTGTGAGGGTCGGTAGGTACTTCCCTCTGTGTAAGACCTCAATGATCTCGTTCTCTCAGACCTGGAGTAACGAGTTCTGGAGGTTCTAGACTGAGTATCGCCTGTCCTGAGGCTTCTACTCTCTGCTTGTGATGGTGTGGGATATCTTTCATGGTCTTCTGAGCGGCGAGGGGGCGTCTTGTTTTTGCGCCCCTCTCTTGTCGCCACTCCTTTTCCTTTCATCTGGCGCTTCAAGGCTTCCATGTCCGCCGCCATCTTCTTTATTAATTCGTCTTGCTCCTTCACGCAGTCCTCCAAAACTTGAGGATCAATCCTCCGCCTCTGTCTGTCAGGACTTTGTGAATGAGAGCAACGGGGGCTGTGAGTCCACCTCCCCCTAGTATCTCTTCTGGAGTTATGTCGTTGGGACTCCAAGTCCGCCATGGCAGGGATAAAAGGTAATCCTTCATGCCTTGCACCCCCATTTGGTGTTTGCCCGTCGATGGCGGACTGTGGTAATTCTTCAATGTGCGTCATTGTTCCTAAAGAGGTAAAGCTTGATCAAGAGGTTTTGTCCTGTCTGGCTTTCCCACAGACGGCGCCAATTGTACGGGAAAGAAATAAACCTTCTCGTATAATCCTGTTGATCAAGTCTGCGCTCCTCTGTATGTCGTCGCTTTATCACCTGAAAACACAAACGTGAGCTAGCCGGCGGATGTGTGCCGGAAACCTCTCCGATGCCTAAGTCAGTAAGCTTGACCACTAGACAAAAGCTCTATGTATTCAGAATGCAAAGTTGTGTGTTACCTCTCCAAAGGTGATGTTTGTGAGCTTTTATAGGTTTCGTGTGGCACAATCCTAGTAGGACTTCTACTCCTCCATGCAGAGTCCTCCTAGGATTCATACTCCTGAAAGATAATGCTTATCCTTCAACACCCCCCTCACTGCTTAAACCAAGTGAGATAGTTTTTACCATGGCCGAACTCCAATATGACCGAAGTAATCATAGTTATGCTGAGCCGCAGAGTAGGCCGAACTATCCTTAGTTCGGTTCTTCCTTTCGCTACACCTTATCTCGGTTCTCTCATGTACAAACCTTGGTGTGATCAGACCGAGCTACCGAATAGTAAGGTTCTGACCGTTCTAACCAAGATACGCCATGACCGGGCTAACTCTGAGACCGGACTAACCTCAAAGTGTCTTTAGACCGGACTAACTTCAAGTCTCCTCCGGGCCAGACTAGCTTCGGGGCTCTTGGACCGGACTAACTTTACAGCCTTTTTACTCAGTCCTTTGTATTACGGCCCATGACGGCCCATTACCCAGCTCGGCCCAATTTTCATATAAATTACCCTCTCAGGATTATTGATTCAATTCTTACAGATTAAGAAGAAGAAAAAAGTGACTGAAATTTTCATGGGAAAACATTTTTTCACACACACACCAAAAAAAAAAAATTATGCTCTTTGTAAAGTGTTAGGTTTTTATTCTTGGCAACCCCATTTGACAAAACAAATTTAAGTTGTATTTGTTTTCGCACTTTTTATTTCAGTGACGCTATGAGTTTTTAGATGCGAATTCAACCCGAATTGTGCCGTGCAGAGAAGTTTGTAATGTTAATACTTTCAAGATTGCCACTTCACTGATTATGACGGGAATCGAGCTGTCCGGTCAGCTCGCGGGGGTCCAGGGGGCAGCGCCACAGCGGGGTCGAGGGGCAGCGCCCCCGAAGCAAAATGCAAAATTGCATTCGAAGTTGCCTGTCCGTCCTTGCTCGCTCGAGCGAAGGAGTGCTCACTTGAGCGAAGGCTACGTCTGTGTAAAAACCTGAAAGAGATGAATGTACGCTCGAGCGAAGGATGCGTGGCTCGAGCAAAGCCACTTATGGAAAACACGCGTTTTTGGTTCCTCGCTCGAGCGAACTTCGCAGTCCCAAATTTCTATAAGTATTTGTTTCAGTCCAAAATTAGGATTACTGTTCCAGATTTCTTTTTGGATATTAAGGTTTATATCTGGAGATATTTTGCTAGTTTTCTTTGATATTTTGATTGAGTATTCAGCTCATGAGTTAAAGAGTATACATCAAAGGATTATTTGTTTGTTCTACACAAAAGAGAGAGTTGTTTTTCGGTGGATTTTGAAGAATTCGAGCCTGAAGTTTTGGTGGATTCTAGAGTGGCTCATCATCAAGACAATTCTGAGGTGAAGACGGGGTTGGAAGAGGCACATAGGGTTTGGTTCAATTCGGGCGTGGATTCGCTAGGTAATTAAGAGTATACCTGTCTAATTCTTTTATATCTTCTTAGTGGATTGTTTTGTAGCTGTTGGCCGTCATTTTTTTATCACAATTGGAGGTGTCCAATTGTGATTTTTTCACGTAAAATCGTTGTGTCGATTTGTCTTGATTGTTTGATTGGGATTGTTATATATTGCATAAAATTGATACATAATCACAAATCAACATCTAGGGGGTTTCTAGATTTTTCACAAAGTAATTTTAGCCTTCAATCCAAAGTAGGGGCGTCTAAGTTGTAGCACGGTGGTCCAATGTATGCATGCTATTTAAGTGGAGGGAAGGGATTATTGTTTCTAATTATTACAGATTGTCAAATAGAAAGGGTGACAGGGAAATTCTCAAGAGAAAAAAAGATCATTAAAAAAAAAACCTACCTTTGCTCTTCGTAAACTAATTTTAGCCTTGAGTGCTGCACTGATTTTAGAGTTGGACCTCATTTTTCCATAATCTGGTTAGTTTGCTGTGTCAATGGTCGTATTGTTCGACATAACACAGTCACGTGCCTATCTAAATTGAAGGATAAGAAGGTAATTTTAGACACTCAGAAGCTTCACCTTACACAGAAACAATCCTCTCTTATCCATGTTCATAAACAGGACTAATCATCTAAAAAAATGTTACATTTTCTGTCAATGACATTTACAACTTAAGAACATATCAGTACAGACCTCATGGAACACCTCTAGTATGACACCCCGGTACTCCTCAGAATTCATTGAAACGTAACAATTCAAGAGGCGTCGTAGATCCTTAGCCTCATAAATCTGATTAGCCACTATCATTTCCACGATAGACTCTCTAAAATCCTCTCTAGGATCATAAGAAGACTTCTCCATTGCCACCATAACGATAAATTTAGTACTACTTTCACCTTTTGCCCTCCTCCTCTCTTCCTGCCTTGCCTCACGCCTTTCTCTAATCATTTGATCAAGCCTCTCTTGAACCATGGCGTGTGCAAGGCTTGATATTGTTCCAAACCTATTGGAATTGGCGCTTTCAGCACCTTCCTCAGAGGATGACACGCTAAGCCTGCAATTGCAACACAACGCGGCTCTGCATCCCCTGAGTTGTTGAAGTTTTTGCTTCTTGACTACCCGAGAGCCTTGCATTGTTGAGCATTGAGCTTTGAAGAGGGAGAAAAAATTATTTATGCGCGATTTAGAAAGTGGGCCGGTCTAATCATGATTGTGTCGGAAGGTTAAGCATTCGGTTTGTAGATGAAAAGATGGAAGTGTGGTTGGAGGAGGAAGATTGGAAGACAAATGGGGAACATTTTGTGTTTGTTTATTGAAACTATTAGTGATTATGATGATGAGAAAACTGTCTTTAATTTCCCTTTATAGGTTGGATTAGGTGGCATATTCATGAAAGGTGTGGTTAATAGGATATGGAAAGATTAGTTTAATTATTGATTCAAGAGAGATTTTTGGGAAAAAGAAAAGCTTTGGGTTGGCTTCACATGGCATGTGAGTGTCTGCTACTTTGCTGAACCTTGAGCACTGTGACAAGGTTTGCTGCTGGTGCAGCAAGGTGATTGCATTTCTCAATTGCGGCAAGGTGATCTACCACTCAATTATGCTCTGTTTGTTTAAGCCAAAAAATATTTTTTCTATGGAAAAAAAATTTTATATCAGAAAATCCTATGTTTGGCTATGACATTGAAATTAATGTGCTAGTGGTTGTTGGTGTGGTGATGGTGGTGTCGGCGGCGGCGGGGAGGATGGTAGTGTTGGTGTTGTTGGTAGTATGGTGGCGTTGGTAAGGTTTTATTTTGGAAAATGTTTTTCACCTTTTAAAGTGAAAAATATTTTCTGCCCAAATAAAAAAAAAAAAATTTCTTGATCATAAAAAACGTTTTCCGTTGATTTTCATTTTTTATGGTACCAAAAGCCAAAAAAAATGTGAAAAAACATTTTCTACTAAAAGAAATGGAGAAACCGATCACAAAATCGGACATAACCCTGTCAAATGGGTGTGAAACCTAAGATTATGTCTGATTCTGTAATTAACTTGTGTATTAGTAGAAGACCCTTAGAATATTGCATTTGACACAATTATGAAACGAGTAGTAGAGCAAACCTTGGTTTAGGCTAAACTAGATTAATTTGTTGTGCAGTTTATACTAATTTAAGGTAAAGGCTATGACAAAGATGATATAAAGACAGCAGTCTAGTTGCCAAATAATTAATTTCATATTAACACACTTTGATTTGATGCATGGATGGACCCAACCAATGATGTCCCAAACAATAATTAAAGGCTATACCTCACTTCAAAAAATTGAGGCTTGTCTGTTGTTTGGGGATAATAAAGCATGTCTAGTGTGTTTTAATGCTTATCCTTCACTAACTTATTATTATTATTATTCCTTTTCTCTTCAAACCATTTGTTTCAACAGAATTTTTTTTTTTTTTTTAGTCAAATATTTGGAAAAATCTCAACTAATTCCAAGGCCCATGCAAATGTTCCCTCTACACAAGTTAAGCAAATCTCGGCTATGTCCATAGGCTAGGGGTGTAATTTTGGCCCGTGACCTGCTAGCGGCCCAAGGTGGGCCCGGCCCGTTAAGGCCCGAGCCCAAGCCCAGCCCTAGGTCTTGGGCCAGGGCCTGGGCCATCGTTTTGAAGCCCGGCCCGTGACTCGACCCATTGGCCTGCTCAAGGCCCGGCCCGCTAATGCCCAGTGTTATTTTTAATGAAAAATAATAAAATTTTTGTGAAAAAAATAAAAAAAATTTAAAAAAAATTATTTAAGCCCACTCAAAGCCCGAACCCAGGCCCAAGCCCAGGAGCCCAACCCACGGACCCGCCCAAAGCCTAAATACCCCTGGGCTTGGGCTAAGGCTAGGGCTAGGGCCTAGTTTTCTGGCTCGTGGGCCAGCCAAGCTCGGCTCGATTTTTTGGCTGGAGCCCGAAAGGCCTGACATGGCCCCGGCCCGGCCCGAGTGCCAAATGGGCCAGGCCGGGCCTAAATTACACCCCTACCATAGGCATAGCCCCAAAGGCATTGATAGCACTTAATGGGAGTCAAACCTTAGACCTGATGTTTCATGAGGCGCCAAGAGGACTAAGTGACTGAAAATGTTTTCTGAAATATAATTTCTATATTTTTTTTATTATGTATATTTGGTACGACAAAGAACAAAACTTAATGAAAAACAATCTTATTTGGGCGAAAAATGTTTCCGAACTAATGTCTTACCAACGTCATCACCACTACTGCCACCATCGTTGTCACCACCACCAATACAATCACTAACACATTAATTTCAAAGTGATAACTAAAAACAGGAAAACTTTTTCTACCCATCAAATCTTCTAAAACCGTTTTTCATATAAAATGTAAATAATATAAAAATATTTTCTGCCAAAATAATCCTACCTTCCTTGCAAATTAATTTTTTTTATTTTAAGTCATGAAAACATTTTTAATGGTTCAACCAAATCATGGAGAAGATCCAGGAGAGGATTTCACAGCTGGTGAGAATCTCCTACTTTTATAGATTCTTTCTTTTGTATATATATACATATAGAGCATATACATAGAGCTAAATAAGATAAATTTAAAATAAATAAATAAATAAAATGAAAAACAAGATTGATGAACAAGGTGTTTGGCATATGGTGATCTTCATTAGCGTGCACTATGGATAACTGATCTTACTTACTTTATATGTAAAAGAGAAAACATGATTCTCATTCTTTTAATGCATTATTGTATTGTTTTTGGCACCAAGTTGCGAAGCAAACATGTGGCTCTAATGATCACCTATAATAAAGATATAATAAACTCTAAACTCTTTCTTGATGAACATATACAGTAGACGCTACAAAATAATACTTTTTTCCCAGCCTTTTCTGGTTCTCTAATGGTGTGTTTGGTTGGGAGATTTGGAGAGAGATTTGGAAAGGAAAAGGAAATAGGTGTATGAAACTATGTAAAATATATACATATTTTATTCACATTTCACTTACCTTTTTCTATTTCCCTTTCTAAATCCCTTCCCAAATCCCTCAACCAAACACAGCGTAAGAGAACTCATAACAGTTTAAGAGGAAGAGTAGTTGGTAACGGCTTTTTATGTGTTTAAAATTGTGGTGGTTGGAACTAGGACTGTGACTTAAGCGGGTTGAGAGTCTGTCCAGACTTCGTAACTCAACGAAAATGTAAAGAGATTTGTATAAGTTCTAATTACTTCTTGAGTGCTAAGAGTACTACACTAATTTATTGATGTAAAATCCGATAATATATATTTTTGTCTACATAACTAATCAATTTGTACCATACTCTTTTTTTTTAATAAAGTGGAACTAGTAAAATTAAATGACGAGATGATAATGACGAGATGATAGATAACTAAAGGGTTTAGACATAATATCCAAGTTCAATTTTGTCACTCAACCCAAATTTCAACAAACATAGGAGGTTTTTTCCAAGTAATTATTTAATAATTTTGGAGTACCATACAACCTAGTTTACATAGTATTCGTAATCAATGTTGTAGCCAAAAAATTTACAAGTGGAACAATAATGACCCATTGTTATTAGATAGTTTAGAGATAATATAATTAACCAGGGATGACCTTACCCTAAGGCCATTGAGGTAGTGGCCTTAGGCCCCATTTGTCTTGAAGGCCCCATAATTTATTTATTTATTTGTGTGGGTTGCTTTCTACAATTAAGGTTGTTAGATTTTTGTAATTGGTAATTCCATTTGCAAAACTCCTTTTAGTATTTTATTTGCTCTTTTATTTCAGTGAGGCTGTGAGTGTTTAGATGCGAATTCAACCCAAATTATGCATATGCAAAGGAGTTTGTGTTAACATTCCGTATCTTGAGCATTACTTGTTGACTATGTACAAACCCGAAGCCAAAGTTGTTTGACCGCTCAAGCGGTAATTTGTGCACTCCAGTGATGAAGCAAATTATTCAGTATCTCTGTCTGCAAACTAAACTTTTGGGAAATATGTTTCACTGCTCGAGTGGTGGATGTTGCACTCAACCAATTGGCCTATATGTTTTGCACTGCTTTTACTCATACCACTCGAGCGGTCAAGTAGTGGCTCAAGTGGTCATCATGACTCTGTTTTCTATAAAGTGCGCTATTTGCTGTTTTTAGGGTTGAACTTGTCCAGATTCTCAGAGATGAGTAAAATACAAAATGTTCTATATTGGAGGGTGATTTATATGAGTTTCCTTGATGAATAGAAGGTGATCAATTGATCAACGAACTATATATTGATAGACATCAAGGGTAGATTTTATTTGTTTCTTGACAAAAAAAGAAAGGTGTTTATCAGTGGATTTTAGGGAACTTGGGTCTGAAGCTTTGATGGATTTCAAAGTAGCTCATCATCGTGGATTCGACATCGGCGTTGTGGATTCAACATTGGGCAAAACAATTTTGAGGTGAAGATGGTGGTGGAAGAGGCATATTGGGTTTGGTTCAATTCGAACGTGGATTGACTTAGTAATTGAGAGTACTTATATGTAATTCTTTTTATTTTCTTAGTAGATTGTTTTGTAATTTTGGGTCGTGATTTTTTTATCACAATTGGAGGTACTCCAATTATGATTTTTTTCCACATTAAATCGTTGTACCGATTTGTCGTTGATTGTTTGATTGAGATTGATATTCACTGTTTAAATTGAAACATATCACCAATCAATATCTCGAGGGTTATTTAGATTTTTCAAAGGTGATAAGGAAATTATAGTAAAGCCCATTTTAAACTATAATTCTTTTTCTTCACCTATTCTGTGTGTGTGTGTGTGTGTTTTTTTTTCTTTTCCCCTCTTCATTAGGAGTAATTATCCTATCTTTTATAAATTTCACATTGGCTACGTGCCTAACTAATAGCAAGGGGATAAATGAATACATGGCCCTAATAACAAAGAAAGTGGTGGACAATTTATAACATTTCATTAGTTAGGCACATGAACACGTGCTTTTCCTGACCTACTAGTTAATTTATGCTTCATTAGAAGTGTAAACGATTTAGTTTGGTTTGGTCAGGATTAAAGAAAGTTTAGCACCAAATTAAATCCTTCAATTTTATTAGTTGAGAAATTGAAACGATATCATACTATTGTTCAATTTTGTGAAATGTAATGGAATCTCACATAAAAAATAAATGAAGGAGATTGTGGGGATGCTCTATAAATGTCTCCCATTTTATGAATTTAAAAAGACACATTAGAAAATTTTACAAAAGATGTATTAGTAATTTTGCATCCAAAAAAAAAATCAAAATCAAATCAAACAAAATATAATATTAAAAAAATTATTGTTAATATTTAAGAAACAAAAACCTCAATTTAAAATTTTGCCTTAAGCCCCTAAAAAAGTTGGGCCACCCCTGTAATTAACCCCCTTAATATGTTTTATATTTTCTCATTTACCGAGAATATCATATAGGCAATCGCACATTTTACTCAGAGACGACCAAATAATTTTTCATGATTTTGCTTTAAAATTTGACTTCTCTCTAGTTATAAAGAAATCTAGCCTAGACTATTCATAAAATAAAAAAATAAATCAACTTGATTCAATAATCATGATTATATAATTTTGTTATATTTGTCTATCAAAATAAACAGTCTATTTAACAATTATATTTATCATTCATTTAAAAAACAAATTGATGGAATTAGAAAGTTATTGAGATGTGATTTTTCATAACTCAATCAAAAAAATTAGGTTTGAGATGTGATTTTTCATATCTATATTCGAAATCATAAAAAATTACACCCTGGCAAACCATACAAAATTAATAATATCGGACTAAACCTCGCTCCAATTGAAAAGAAGCCAGATCCTTTTTCATAACTACTTTTTTTCTCTAGAAAATATAATGAAATGGTTCATGGGCGCCAACTACCAGGCAGCTGAGGCAAGCCAGTACATTGGACTAGACTTTGGGGGTTTTAGGTGAGAAAACTAAGGTCATGTTTGTTTGGGCGGACTGGATTAGCATTCCCATGACTAATAGTCTTAGAATTACGAATTCGTTGGATTGCGTATCCTATCTTAACTAATAGTCAAGTTTAAAATAATTAATCCGTACTTCAATTGTTAAACCAAACATCGGATTAATAATTTTATTGGACTATTAGTCCAATCCCAAGCTCATGTCCACCCAAACAAACATGACCTAATGGTGTTGAGCTCCAACCCTAACCAGTCCATCCACCAAGCCCATGCCCAAATAGTTGGTAGTATTGTTGTCTTCTTGTGATTGTACAATACAAAAAATTAGGGGATTCAATTTGCATTCAAAAAATTATTCAATATGCTTAATATTTTAGTATTCTCTATTAAATTATTTAAGATTATGGGGGTGATTTGGAATGTTCTAAATAAGTGCACTTTTTAATTTTTTATTTACAAAAAGGGTAGAAAAACAGAAAAAGTGAATAAAAAAGTAAAGAGGTGATGTTGATTGATGTAATCCAAATAAGTATATATATGCAAAAAAAAAAATACACTTTTTTAGTGCATGCCAAACCCCTACTATAATTTACTCTCAATACATTCTTTTTTTTTTTTTGCCAAAAAGCCAACCCACTTCCCAAACGGAGGCTAAATAAGTAAACTTTTTAATTTTTTATTTAAAAAAAAGGGTAGAAAAACAGAAAAAGTGAATAGAAATGTAGAGAGGTGATGTTGATTGATGTGATCCAAATAAGTATATGTATACAAAAAAAATATACACTTTTTTAGTGCATGCCAAACGCCTACTATAATTTACTCTCAATACACTCTATTTTTTTTTTTTCACAAATTACCCTTCAATATAAAATAATAATTTGTGGTACACTCAAATAATAAACAAATCAACATTAGGTACCACACAAGTTTGAAGATCAATCAAAAGAAGCCTCGCATAGCTTTTACCAGCGGATACTATTTCCTTTTCGAATTGAATCAATTTTTTTGCAGATTTAAGATTTAGGATTTATTGTAAAGTTGTTTCTCGTTTGTTTGCCTTTTTATTTTTTGATTCTCTTTCTATGATACATGCGAAACCCAATTGCGATCAACATGTGTTTTTTCTCTGTTTTTTCTTTTAAAAAATGCTCTGCATCAATTTTTTGTTATGGCTATGGAGGTGATCAAATGCCTTCTCTTCTCTTAATTAATTTATGTAAATCTTTATGAAGTAAGTTACTGGGAATAAATGAGTGTCGATTTGGAGTAGTTTCAAGTGATGATGACGTTGAAAAGGGATGGATTCGAGTGAAATAAAGATTGTATAATCAATCCGATAGAATTTCATCAATTAGAGCCCAAATCTCCTCAGCTTGCAAGATGTCACATTCTTGAGATTGGGCCTTTAGTCCAAAACTATGGGTAGTGATCAACATAGGGCCCAGTAACTTGATAACTATCACCAACCAAACTCCACTAAATGATCAAAAAGATACATATAAAAAATCGATACTCAAAAAAAATAAAATAAAAATAAAAATGCGGATCAAAGATCATAAATGCTACTGGAATATCCTTCCTCACTTTCCATTCACACTCTCACCACGCATCCACCTACCAGAGAAAGGTGGCAAGTTAGGTAAGTACAATACAAGGTAGAAATGATTTGATGCTTCTTGTACCATCATATTATGCTAAGCACCATCGTAATCGTCGAAAAATTATGGACCGGTATTAAGACAAATCTATATGCTTTCCAAATTTAATATTTATTGACTAAAATTATATAATTTAATATTTTTTATTAATTTTTTTAAAAATAACTTATAAATATAAAGTGATAAGTGGCGTGGGGTGTCTTTTGATAATTAAGTTAAAAATTAGTTTATTGATTTTTTTGTTTTTTTAATCATATCACTTTTTTTATTATTTTGTATATTTTTTAAAAAATTAAAAAATTAACTTTTTTTTTTATATATTTTTAAAAATTAACTTTCAATTAAAAAATTGAAAATAGACAAAAGAGAACACCAAATAATCACTCATAATCATCACGCAGGTCACCATCAAAACTAAACCATACCCATTTATGTACATATATGTGTTCATATATTATTTTAAAATTCCCAAAATACCCTTTTAGTTCATAGCCACCTACTCTCAGTGGGAGTGTTTGGCAAGTTGGATGAGAGTTTTTTTTTTTACTAAAACAATTAATAAAAACAAAATATACTAAAATAGTCAATAAAATAAAATATCACATATAAGTGATTGAGACTCCCTCAAGCCTCCATCCCTATTATCTTTATATATATATGGATATATATACACACACATATATGAAGAGTTAGTTGGGTTCCACGAAACTCATTTACTTTGATATAGTAGGAATTTGCAGGACTATTGTATTGAGTTACTCTATTAAATGGTTGTTGTGCCCTTATTATCGCTTGGTTGTTACTAAAATGTTTGATAAGCATTCTATCTTCCTTGCTTATTAAGTGTTTGTTAAAATGTTTCCATAGAATTTACACACACACAAAAGAAGGAAAAAAAAAAACCGAGATTAAACTTCATCTAAAACATACTTTGTCATAAATATAATTTTTTTTTTTTATTGGTGCACACACAATAAATTTGCAATTTATAATTTTACAGCTTTGATTATGATGCCAGAAGGATTGAAGTTGACTCAAAGGTCTCTTCCCTTTTTCGTTTTCTTTTTTATTATAAACATGAGGTGCAAACTCTCTAAAATAGATATTGATCGTTTTTGAATTTAGAAAAATATTATCGGCCTTTTTTAGAAGAAAAATAAATAATTCTAACAACTAGAGGGTTATTTATGAAATTATTGAGTCAATAGTCTTAAACTTAAATCTTTTTGGGTCAAAAAAATTTCATCTATCCAAAAAACACATCTATCGTCCGAGAACATAATTATTTGATCATCTGTTCAAATATAGCTTATTTGTCCAAAATGTAACATATTTGTTTAAACGTTACTTATCTATACATGTGTCACTTATATGTCTAAAGGAAAATGTTTGAGGGCCACAATGGCTCAAAACTGTCAACGACGTCGTTTTGGCAGTTTTGAGCCATTGTGGCCACAAAAATTGTGGCCCTCTAGCATTGTTGATGTCTAAATGTTATTTATCTGTACACGTGTTACATATTTGTACAATGTCGATTATTTGTCCACTTTACCGCCACTAGGCACCACATCCGACCATCGATGACTTTTTTGACTAATTTTCAAGACACGTCTTTTTCATTAATAAAAATTAAATTTTGAACCAAATATGATCCTATAAAACCATCTCCAACCCAGACTTAAACCTTTCAACAATTTTAAATTTGATGAAATTTTGATAAAAACGGCGTTTCAACCGTTGCACCAATTTGGTATCAAATGAAATGAGTCATACTTTTTTCATCAAATCAAGAGAGTGCTTAACCTTTTGTCAAATATCGCAAGTAACTGTTGGTGGATGACTGCTCAGACATCATACTGGTCGATCGGTTGTTTGATGAAAATTAAAAATTTAGTGTTAGAACGCTTGGTATCAGATGAAATTTTTAACCCAAATCTTTATTCAAATTTGATTAAAAAAAAGCATTGGGAATGTGCTAAGTGTGAAATTTTTACTAATTAACCTTTTAAATTTTACTATATTTAAAAAAATAAATTAATATATATTATTAAATAAAAAAGATTTAAAAATATAATCAGAGTGAGAATAAAAACCGAAAAAAAAAAATAAATTAAATTAAAGTTAGAATAAATAAATTTTAGGCCTTGTTTGTGGTATCTTAAAAAAGTTAAAAATTTAAAAAGTCACTATTATATTTAAGTCATATCATATTATTTAAGTCACATCACTTATCTACCATATTACTTCAAACTCAACCTATATTTCATAAAGAGCATTAATAGAGATCCCCTCCAATCACCACCCACCACCCCCTTACACACACGTGGCGAGTGGTGATTGGAGGAGAGGAAAAGAAAAAAAATAGAAAAGAAAAACTAGCCAATAAGAGAGAAAAAGAATCTCAAACATTTTTATTTCATAAAAAATCAAAAAATACATTTATTTAAATTATCTCAAACCACCCCTTATTTTGGGCGGAGAAAATGTGCGGGTGTGGTGAGAAAATTTGTCCATACCAAAATATAGGAGGAGACCCCGAGGACATTTTTGCCCTTTGCAAACTTGATAAGTGCGAGTGAGAGAGTGAGAAGGAGACAAAAGAACGAAACCAAAGGGCTTCGAAAACTATCTCCGAGAGATCTGAGCTTTGGTCTCTCTGCTTACATCAATGGCGTCTGCGTTGGTATACAACGGCGATTTCTCCGCTGCAAAGTCTCCGGCGTCAACCAGCCGTGTTGCTTCTGTCTACAGCGAGGTTCAGAACAGCCGTCTCGATCACTCTCTTCCTCTACCTTCTGTTCTCAAAAGTTCCTTCAAGGTCGTCCATGGCCCCCCTAGCTCCGCCGCCGGCAATCCAGGTTTTTACTTGTATCTCTAGATTTGATTAAAGCATTGTTCGATCTCTGATTTCTTCTTTTTTTGGTAATCTGAATCTTAAATCGAAAATCCAAGTCCGCAACTTAAATCATTCATGTACTGTGCGTTTTACAGTGACTTTGATTTTACTTGAGAAGCTTTGATAAAAGCATTTTCCGATCTCTGTTTTCATTATGTTTCTGGTAATTTACGAAAGCTTCAATTTTTTTGTTTTTTACACGAAATCCAAATCTGAAATTTGAAATTCGAATCCTTGTGTTTTCTTCTTTTTTCTGGTAATCTCACTCGGAAATCGAAAGCTTCAATCATTATTTTTTTTTTTATTTTTTTTTTTATTTTTATACTAAATCGATGTCTGAAATTTGAATAACTCATGTACTGTGCATTATACAGCTATTTTGATAAGTTTACTTGAGAAGATTTGATATCAGATCTCTGGTTTCCCTGTGTTTTGTTTTTTTTTCTGGTAACTGAATCGTAAAATATAGAGCTTAAACAGTTGTTTTTTTCCTTCACGAAATCGAAGTCTGAAAATTGAATCCTTCATGTACTGTGCGTTATACAGCTACTTTGATTAGTTTATTATTTGAGAAGATTTAATGAAAGCATTGTTCTCAGATTTCTCTATGTTTTGTTCTTTTTCTGGTAAGCTGAATCCTAAATTGAAGTCTGAAAATTGAATCCTTCAATTTACTGTGCATTGTACAGCTATTTTGATTAGCTTACTTGAGAAGATTAGATCGAAACGGAGGTTTATGGTTTTGATTGTGAGTTGGTGTTTCAGATGAGATCGCGAAGCTCTTTCCTGGCCTATTTGGGCAGCCATCGGCAATGTTGGTGCCAGGTGAATCGTCCGAGTTTCCCTCAGGTCTGAAGTTGAAGATTGGAGTGGTTTTGTCGGGAGGCCAAGCCCCTGGAGGACACAATGTGATATCTGGAATCTTCGGTTAGTGATTCATGTTTGGATAGGCTGTAGATATTTCGATCTTGTTTGATTTGATTAATTACTGAACTTCAATTTTCTTTTTGGATGTGTATGTGTTTGTGTGTGGTAGATTACTTGCAGGATCGTTGCAAAGGAAGCACGGTGTACGGCTTCAGGGGTGGACCAGCTGGAATCATGAAGTGCAAATATGTGTTGTTGACTCCAGAGTTCATTTACCCGTACAGAAATCAGGTCAGAATTATTTGAATGAAACTTGTTGACTTTTCTAGTAATTTAAACACTATTTCAACATTCATATGTAATACCATGTATTAGTTATTAGCCTAGTATGATGGGTCGTCATTTGTGTTCTCAAGTGTTTATTTTAGACCTAATAGCATTATGTCAGTAGGCTTTTATGAAAGCTGTAGGTGTGCAACTTGCTTGGGAAGGTTTCATGTATTGGCCAAGTTATTTTGAGTGTGTACTTTTGGTTTTTAAAATCAAGTTTCATGATTTTACCCATTGAGGCAGAATTCATTGAGGCTGCATTTAGAAATGTGGAAATGTGGATTTGGATATGGGGTGTGGATTTTAAATAAGGGGGTTTCAAATGGTTGCAGAGATGAAGAAACAAGGTGACGTTTGGTAACACTTATGTTTTTAGTTTATATTTACAAAAATTTAAAAAACTGCCATAAAAACTTATTTGGTAAATATTTTGGTTTATAAACCAGTGGTCTCAGTTTATAAATTTGGCCAAAATTTGTAAACTCAAAAAATGAGTTTACGTTTTCTTTTTTTTTTTTTTGACCACCCATCACTCGCCACCACCTGTCACCATTTTCCACCACCGTCTTCTGCCGCCACCACCCACCACCGTCTTCCGCCGCCACCACTCGCCACCACCACCCCCCACCTGTCACCATCTACCACCACTTTCCACCACCATCTTCCGCCACCACCCTCCATCACTGTCTTCTGCTGCTACCACCCACCACCTGCCGCTATTACCCGCCATCATCGTCTTCCGTCACCACCACTCGCCACCACCCACCACTACCGTCTTCCGTCGCCATCCACCCGCCACCACCATCTTCCGCTGCTACCATCCGCCACCACTCGTCACCGCCCGCTACGTCACCACTCGTCATTTCTCATTCTTTTAGTTTATATTTTTTAAAATTTTCAAACATTTT